AACCCAGGGCACCATTTATTAATAACTGGACCCAATGGTTGTGGAAAGAGTTCGCTATTCCGTATAATCTCAGGCTTATGGCCAGTTTACGCAGGAACGCTGACAAGACCAGCGGACTCGTGGTCAATCCGAACCGGAAGACCATCAATGTTCTACATCCCCCAAAAGCCTTACATGACAGTGGGGTGTCTTAGAGAGCAAATAACTTACCCAGCGGACAGCAACACTAACCAGTGTTCTGACGAGCAGCTGCTGGAGCTGCTGGACCTGGTGGACTTGCGCTCGCTGGCCGAGAGAGAGCCCGACGGGCTGGATGCGATGGGTGACTGGGACTCGACTTTGTCAGGCGGCGAGAAACAGAGACTCGCTATGACGAGGTTGTTCTACCACGCGCCGCACTACGCGTTGCTGGACGAGTGCACCAGCGCTGTTAGCCTGGAAGTTGAAGGGTCCATGTATGAGACTGCCAAGCAGCGCGGAATTACCTTACTCACGATAACACATCGCATTTCTTCACTGTCCAAGTATCATCGGTTTGTGCTGAGGTTTGATGGAGAAGGCGGCTGGACTTTTGGGTTGCTCGATCCCGCTGACTCCTCTATTTTGTCTAATCAAGATACGGGGAAAGATAGAGAAGCTCATAGTCAAAGACTTCAGGTATATACACAAAAAATTAATTAATTAATTAATTTAAATCAAGAAAATAATATTTATTAAACTTTTAAAATTTGAAAAATTTTTAAACTAAGAACTTTTTTTTTATTTAAATAAATTATATTTTATTAAATTATTTTTTGTCTTAAATAAAAACAATTAAATTTTTTAAAATTAATTTCTTGGTTCAAAAATTTTTCTTTTGATTCAAATTAATTTTTTTTATTTTGAAAAAATTTTAAACTAAAAATTTTTTTTTCATTCAATTAAATTTTATTAAAAAAAATTTTTTTTCGTCTTAAATTAAGACAATTAAATTAAAAAAAATTATTTTTGTCTTTGATTAAGATAATTAAATTATTTTTTGTCTCAAATTAAGAGAATTAAATTTTTAAAAATTATTTTTTTGGTTCAAAAATTTTTCTCTTAATTCAAATTAATTTTTTTTTCTGTTTATTTACTCACTATTTTTGTTAAAAATTAATTATTATGTTTATTACCAATTAGAAGCCTTGTGTTAATTAATTTATTATTTTTGTTAAAGGAAATCCGAGATATGGTCAGCGAAGATACACAACACATCGGTATCAGTTGAAATAAAATAATTTTATTGATCCCAGCTGCGATATTTAATTTCTACCTGCGAAAAATATATTTTTATTATTATTATATAATGTTAGGTTGTAAGGGAATATTTTTTTATATTAATTCAAACGATAAACATATTGTGATTTTATAAAATAAAAATGGTAGTTAAAAAAAATAAATATTTTTAATAAAATTGTGAAGAAATATGGATTTAATTTCAGGCTTTACTAGATTGTTGTTTAAATAAAATAAATAATTTTTTATTTAAAATATGCTAATTTTTTATCGATAAACTCTGAAGAAAGCAAAGCAATAGAGTACGCAACTGTTACGCCGCTCGTTCAATAACAATTAAATTGCGTAATGTCACTGTAACAAATAAATCCTTGAAATAATTTTATACGCTTCATTATCAGAATATTGATATTTATTTTTTAAGATTGATTTTTGGGTTTTTTTTTAATTAAAAAAAATAATTAGTAGTTTTTTTTTTTAAATTATTATTAGTAGGGAAGATATGAGGCAAAGAAGAAATAAATAATGAAGTTTTATTTTTAAAAAATAAAAAATTTAATTACGTGAAATTCTTTGTTTTCAAAGGCCAAAAGAGCCGAGAGGGGCAATTTTAGGGGAGGGAAGACCCGCAATTTCCGATGAGCTTACCTCTGAGAAACCCTCCAAGTCGAAACGTCGATACGGCCGGCACAGCAGCAGCCATCTTGAGGGTTGTTTCGCTCTTCGTTTAACTTTTAAACTATTCTAATGCAATTCTCTATTTATTCTGTACAATACGTAGCCTAAGATTATTACATCATTGATTTAAACATCTTAATATGTTATAATAATAATCTTTTCTTCATTAGTCTTGTATTTTTATTTTTTTTTTAGTGAAATTTAGTGTCATTGCAAAGGTCTTGATTTTAATTTGTGCCTTTTTCAAGGTTTCATTCCCACCGATAGTCAATTTATTATGATATTTAGACTCTATCTCTAGAAACATAAGAAATTATCTTGTATGTCATGAAATATTGACATTTTTAAAGATATAAGCCCATCCTGGTGTTACACTCATCAAGACCTTTCATTTGAATACCCACATCAATTTTTCATATATTATGTATATTTATATATATATATATATATATATTATATATACATATATATGAAAAATATATAAAAAATTCATGTGGGTACTCAAATGAAAGGTCTCAATGAGTGTAACATCATGATGAGCTTATATCTTTAAAAATATCACAAGTTGACAAAATACAATATAATTTCT